AGCCAGAAAAACAGCAACTAACAACAACAATCTGTGTAAAGTGTTTACTATGATGCCTGCCACACAGTAAGCACTCAATAAGAGCTAGTCATTTTTATGTCTGTTATTTATAATCCCAGCTACCTGACTGGTACCACTATCTAGGTAGGAATGGAGTTAGAACAAAGCAGACATACATGCACATCTACTTCAATCTACTTTCCTGGTAAACCGAAACTGGGCAGGGGTGAATTAGTTCACAAAATAACACAAACTGTCCCTCTTCTCCACTCTAGGTTTTTGCCAATCACTAGACCTGCTTTCCAGGGAAAGACGAGGAGAGTGAGAGGAGAGGAGGGGAAGGCCAGTGAACTGCCAGCCCTCTGAAACCGGGCTCACAGAAACTGGGAATCAGTGGCTTCGGGCTCAACCGCACTGATTCTGACGTCTTCCTTTTGTAGCTCTGTTGGAATTTCTGAAGCCTTATTAGCTGCCTCAACCCCTTGCAGAGTGTGGATTTATTCTCCATTCTCAGAGGCAGACACATTCTTGCAAAGAAAATGCAGATGGGGTGGGGAGTCCTTTCTTGGACAGGTTAATGGCACAATAGAGGGGTGGCTGCTGGGGTGGGAGTTAGAGGGAAGGAAACTAATACGTACTGAGGCGTTCCTTCACAGGACCAGACTCTGCGAAGGAGCTTCCATGTCATCAACACTGCAAGCTCAGTATCTATTAACCCCATTTTACAGATGAGGAACTTGCCCAAGGCCACTGCTAGTCCATACAGACTTATAGATGGGAGTCCAACCAGAGTTATTTAAGATCAAGAGTCATTCTTCTCCATCATAGTATGTGGGAGGTTTATAGGATTGTTACGGATCTAATTACGCTCTCCTAAAATATGTGTTGGAATCCTACCTTCTATACCTGTGGATGTAATCCCTTTCGGGAATAGGGTTTTCTTTGTTATGTTAATGAGTTCATATCAGCATAGGGTGTGTCCTAAACTTAATCACTTCTGAGTTGTAAGGAGCAGCAGAGACGCAGAAATAAAGAAGCACAAACCGAGGAGACAGAGATGTGAAGATCCTCAAGGAACTGAGGAATGCCAGGGCTGCAGAAGCTGAGACAAGGATCTTCCTCCAGAGCCAACAGACAGACAGCCTCCCCCTGTAGCAGTGCCCTGAATCTGAATTTGGACTTCTAGTCTCCTAGACTGAGAACAATCAAACGGTATCATTAATATCACAGTAAGTAAAATTACGCTGAGGAGAATTCAAAAACGGTTGCAGCAGTACAATCACAGGGAACTGCCAGAAATTCAAGCCAGATTCAAAAGAGGACATAGAATGAAGGATATCATTGCTTATGTCAATAGAAGAATACCAGAAAGATGTTCACCTGTGTTTTATTGACCATGCAGAGGCATTCGACTGTGTGGATCATAACAAACTATGGATTACATTGCGAAGAATGTGAATTCCGGAACACTTAATTGTGCTCCTGCGGAACCTGTACATAGACCAAGAGGCAGACATTTGGACAGAACAAGGGGATACTATGTGGTTTAAAATCCGGAAATGTGTGCCTCAGGGTCGTATCCTTTCACCATACTTATTCAATCTGTATGCTGAGCAAAAAATCCAAGAAACTGGACTATATGAAGAACAACATGGCATCAGGACTGGAGGAAGACTCATTAACCACCTGCTGTATGCAGATGACACAACCTTTCTTGCTGAAAGTGAAGAGGACTTGAAGCACTTATTGATGAAGATCAAAGACCACAGCCTCCAGGATGGGTCACACCTCAGCATAAAAACCAAACACCAAAACAAAACAAAACCAAATCCATTGCTGTGGAGTCTCTTCCATAACATAGTGACCCTATAGGACAGAGTAGAATTGCCTAGTAGGGTTTCCAGCGAGCAGATGGTGGATTTGAACTGCCAACCTTTTGGTTAGCAGCCAAGCTCTTAACCACCGTGCCTCAACATAAAACAAAAACCCTCACAACTGTACCAAAAAGCAACATCATGATAAATGGAAAACATATTGAAGTTGTCAGGGATTTCATTTTACTTGGATCCACAGTCAACGCCCATGGAAGCAGTCAAATCAAACAATGTATTGCATTAGGCAAATCTGCTGCAAAACACCTCTTTGAAGTGTTCAGAAGATGTCACTTTGAGGACTAAAGTGTGCCTGACCCAAGCCATTTTTAATCGCTTCATATGCATGTGAAAGCTGGGCAATGTATAAGGAAGATCAAAGAAGAATTGATGCCTTTGAATTATGGTGTTGGCGAAGAATATTGAATATACCATGGACTGCCAGAAGAACGAACAAACCTGTCTTGGATGAAGTACAGCTAGAATGTTCCTCAGAAGCGAGGATCACAAGACTTTATCTCAGCGTACTTTGGACATGTTATCAGGAGGGACCAGTCTCTGGAGAAGGACATCAGGCTTGGTAGAGGGTCAATGAGAAAGAGGAAGACCCTCAGTGAGATGGCCTGACACGGTGTCTGCAACAATGGGCTCAAATATAGCAACGACGACGAGGAGGGTGCACTACCGGGCAGTGTTTTGTTCTGTTGTACAGAGGGTTGCTATGAACTGGAACTGACTTGATGGCACCTAACAACAACAACAAACTGTGAGAAAGTAAATTTCTGTTCTTTAAAGCTGTCCACTTGTGATGTTTCTATTACAACAGCACTAGGAAACTAAGACGAGGACTAAGGCCAAGCGTCTTTACTGGTGTTCAGAGATGACATTTTGCATGCATTTTATACAAAATCCGAGATGCTCCATCAATTCAGAGCTGGAAGGCTGGGCACAGGCTGACTTAGAAAAAGGAGCGCTCCATGGAAGGCCCAGCCAGTTCTGCTCTTAGCCCACTGCCCAATCCCCGGGAAGTAAAATGCTGGAGACGTTTCGTCCTGCCTTTGGTCCAGGTGCCTTTTGCTGTCTTCAGCAAGTCAGTCTCCATCAGGCTATAACTACTCATGGTTATAATTTACTGTTGTTTGATTGCTCTGTTTCTTTTGGTCAAAAGGGAGGGGAATAGGTCAGAAGCACAAGGAACTATTTCTGGGCTCTGGCCTTTGGAAAAGCAGCCTTGCCCTGTTTACACATCCTCTTTCCAGATTTGCACAAGCAGACCAAAGAAACGTCACCCTCCAAGCCCAGGTAAATAGAGGCAACCAAATAGTCTCCAGCCAGCCAACAGCTATTGAGCTCCTAGAAGCCCAGAACCCTGTACTAGGCAACTGCAATAAATACAGATGAAAAGAGTAGAAATCGTTCCTGGCCTTAGGCTACTGGAGCAGAGGTGTATTTCCATCTGGGGAGGAGGCCACTCAGTGCAAGTTCTGAGCCCCTTTGTGGTGTGACTCTTGGTCCAGCCACCTTCCTAGCACCATCCCAGCTGTACCACCAAATTGAGAAGGGGCGGGCAAGAGGAGGAAGGAAGTTTCTGATCCAGCAATGAATGTCTGGATGAATCAGGTTTGTTTCAGAAAACAAAAGTGGGAGAAAGGGTTTGTGTCTGGACTTTTAGAATCACATTCTTCAAAGATGGGAGAAATAGGATGCAGGGAAATAAGAGCAAAAGGCAGTGAGAAGAGGGTCTATCCTAGGGAGGCAGGCAGTCCTCTATGGCTGACAGCTTGCGTCCAGGTGGTCACACTGCAGGGGTGGGG